TGCACATAAAAATTAATATTTACTTTAAAAAGGGATATGCCCAGAAAAAAGGGAAATACTGAAGCATATTACAGTCTACTTGGTAACAGAAAAAAAGTAAATCATCATTGCTTCCTAGGAAGCATGGTAATAAAGTTATAAATATCGTAGTACAGCTTGATAATAAACTTTTATGTTGAAATTTACTCCAGAAATAGGTACATTCTTTTGACCACTTCATAGAGGTTTTTTTCAGGAAAATAACTATGTGCAACATAGCTCAATAACAAGCAGAGAGGCAGAAATCAATAGTGAATAAGACAAGTGAAAAGAACAAAATACTAACATGTTTTATTACCAACCACTTACATAAAAATTCCACAATTAATCTTCTCATAAATATGGAATAAATATAACCATGAAAGTATGAAATTTTAAATTTTTTTTTAAGTGGATATCTAAAAAAAGAGAATCTTGATATATGCAACTTTATATCACTGTATTCATTTTGAAATTTTGCCTGGTGGAACAGATCAAAGTAATTTAAAAAACAAAATCAAGTTTGTTGAGTAAAGAAGAATAGGCTTGCAGCATAATTTGAAGCTCAAGCATGGGCCCTGATGAACAGCTGTAGGGGAAAAAAAGATTTCTCAAAGGCAATGACCAGCACAACTGTGTCTTTCACTCCTGTAACACACCATAGGAAAAGCAGCAGTCTCTTAAATAACTTCATTATACTACAATTAAACACCCTTCATATAGGAAAATATCCTCTATTTCTAAATCTACATAATCACTTTTCCCTATTCCACATCTTTCCCATGATTATATGTGTAAATGCTAAGAAAAATGCCTCAGCCACAATTCAGTTGGTTATGAGTAGATTTTAATATCTACTTAAGATGGGTCAGTATTTCAAAGAGACTCTAGTAGAGTTTAACCGCATGACACAATAAATGGCATTGACTCAAGTGGCAGAAGTATTTTCTTTGGGTCTAGAACAAAGTAATACACTATGCAAGAGTTAAAAATGCTTTCATCCACTCTGTCAGCTTGAAGAATGTCTTTTATTAATGCAACACAGACACCTGCCAGGTTTTTCTTATCACTAGAATCAATGCTGCTTAAGGTCCTATATTTCAGACGTGACCTTACACTCCAGTTCTACTTTTGTTCACTGTGGGGGCCTATTTACAAGAAAACTTGGCCACCTAACCCATTGTTAGTATTTCTGTTGAAGAGTTTCTTTTCTGTTATACCACATTACTGAGCTCCATTTGGGGTTCTGCATCAGCAGAGGCCATTTAAATTCTATAAATAGTACTTGGTCCTGAATATCCTAATCATAGATGTAAATATATGTGTCTTATGAGACTGGTACTGCCTAATAAGTCTGTAAAACACAAAGACATTATGAAACTGTAACATATTATTATAAAACATTTACATATTCAAAGACTGTAAAACAATAGGATTTCCTTATTATGACATATTTCCCTCCCACACTTGAAAGCAAAGCAAATTAACATATCATCATACTTCATACATCTAACATCAGCTCTTTAATACCATTTATGAAACACAACAAAAGTTGTCAATCTCAGCAGTAAGTCAGAAAAAGTGTAAAATAAGTTCCTTACTAAAACTATCTGACATATGGATTGACTTTTCAAATAATTAAAGGCTTAATATGCTTGCCATTTACAAATCAAAATCAACTAATGTGATAGGCTAAAATCTGTTAGTTAATCTTCTACTGGAGAAACAGAAAGGAAATACTTTCCACTTCTGAGAATGTCAAAACCAAGGCTCTGAGTGGGCAAGGCTCTATAAGTACTACTTTATTCAGTATGTTTACCATCATTCCTTGTTAACCACAGCTCCTGTTTCTAAAACCTAAGAAATGAGAATGGATAGATCTTCACTTTGAACATTTTATTTTGCTATACACTGTAAAGCACTGGGTCATTAGGGAAGGGGTGTAACAACAGTAATTCCTAATCTTTCTAACAGTAACCGTGTGGTATGTGACATGGAGCAACCATATAGTTCCTCCCCAGAAGCTTACAGATGCTTCTGTTTTCAAAATTAATAGCTATTGAAGTAATTCCATTAAATATTATAAGATTTTAAAGGCTACAATAAAATTGTATTTGTTTATTATTAAAAATCTTCCACATAACACACTAGTTACAGCAGAAAATATTTGCATGTTCTGTAATAAACTCAAGCTAGGCTAGGGTTTTAACAGCCTAGACTAGCATGTGTACAACCCTCATCATGTGTCAATAAATGTACAATCACTATTCAAAAGCAAAGTTTCTGAACTGATAGTACTCCCAAGTGGTCATATTCATTTGCAAACAAGAACTGCTCTTTATCTAATTTCAAACATTTAATCTAGCACATTTAATCTAAACCTGCTTGGTTCCACTTTCTTAGTTTAAAGCCTGATTTCAACCCATTGAAACTGAAGGGAGTTTTGCAATAGATATCCTGAACTTCATCCCCATTTCTCTAAAAACAGTTCTCATTTTCTTCCCATTTATGACCGACTTCAGCGGCCACACAGTTCTGTTTCTTCATGCTGATATCAGCTACATTTGCCTCTTATTATTTTGTCTGCATTATTTTGTTTCCTTTTAAAAAAGTGTAATGAAAGTATACAGGGGTTTGGATCATCTCGTGATGCAAGGATAGTGGAGGAGAGTAGGCCAATTACCTTCATTCTTGAACTCTCAAAGCCCTATAAAGTTCCCCTCAACAGTCAGTATGCAGCAACAAATTTAAATCTATTGACAAGGCTATGGGTTGGGGAATTTGTTATTTATCAGCTGACATGAGACTCTGAGAAACAGTCTGTGGAGTGTCAAAGAACTCTTGTATCAAAGGTTAAGGACCACTGAACTAGATCCTAAGTTATGGAAGGAACATCTCTGTAATACTGATTCATCCATCATATGGTAAGTAATTTTGCACTATTTACCAGTTCAGCAACAGCATAAAACACTAAATCATTTACAAAGATTTACATCTTTTTTTGTATCATTTACAATGTGGAAATATAAGGAATTTTGTATTTCCATATTGACACATGAATTCAAAATTTCCTGCTATAAATAGCCAAAAATTTATTTGTAGCAAACAAAAATCTTTCCTAAAAACACATGCATTAAATTTACATTTCAAAGAAATTTCAAGCAATTGTTAATTATTCTGTTTACAGCAATGGTTTTAAGAAACTAGTTGTACCAAAAAAAAGAAAACCTTCAAAATAATTCTGAAATAAATGAAGAATCTTGATTATCCTGACCACATCTCCTAAAAACCTCAAACTAAAACAAAGACTCAACATAAAGAATGAGGTTTATGCTTATGTTCCAGAACAGGGAAGAAAGTATTTCTAACACGTGCATTCAGGTGGGCCAGAGTCTTTAAACAAGCTATAAGACAACCTCTGTCAGATGTTGTACTCGTCTGTTAACACCACGTTAACAGAGATACTATAAAATTTGAATCACTGGGTTTGAGTGACAGGTGCAGCTGCTGGTAGCTTTTAGTTTTTTAAAGAATAAACTCCTGCAAAACATTCAGGTTTTAACAAAGGAAATACAAGATCTTCTTGGCAAAATCAGTGGCCAAAAACTTGAGACATGTATTAGAAATACCCATGAAGAGTCAGCAAGAAAACACCACTTTTTATTATTTTAATCTTTTACTTTAAAGGCAGGCAGCATAAGCATTCAGTGGGTAGAGAGCAAACTCCTTACCTACCTCCCAACAAACAGTTGTGTTTTCTCTCTACTTTTCTTTGTATTCCTTTCTTAGATTTCAATTGGAAAAATGTAAGAGCTCCCATCACAGCTTTTCTAGAAGACTAGTTCAAGGGAAAGCAAGATCTAGCATGAAATGACAGCAGCAGCTGCAGAACTGCTCAACCTGTCTTATGTAATTTGCAAGCCTAAATGTCAAGCCAGTCAACACTAATAACAAAGTCATGGCTTCTTACACCTCCATGTAAATCTGTACTTTATCCCAGCACCTCACAGGGAGGGAATGGTTCCTTTCAAACTAAGCCTAGAATAAGAACCTACTTCCTGAAAAGGCATTGTTACAACCAGAAAAGCACCTCTGAAGCTTTTCATGAAACCATAATAAAACAGCCTTCAGAAGCACATTTAAACAAAGTTTTCAGCAGAACTGTATTTTAAACAACAGTGATTTGTGGAGGTTCTGGACATCTTTTGTTATTTTTATTAAGCTGTCATTCAAAATTATACACAAAGCAGTAGTTTGTACCAACAATATATCTAAAGCAAAAGTAATTTCAATCTCTGAGCTCCTGTAGCAAAAAAAAATACCTGAATCAAAAAGATGTTGTTAGATCCCAAACTCTGTAAGAATAAAGCAATTTCTGACATGTGTCATCTAAATATTTCACTCTCCTCATGTATTATTCACAGATGTTATATACCAAAGTCTGTTTGCATATGCAAATCCCAAAATTCTATTACTACCTGAAAACTAATCTGAATGCTTCTAGAATTAAAAATAAAAGGAACAGCTTGGCTTATTTCAAACAACTGGCCCTACAGCCACTTGATGTACTGAACTTGAGGGAGGACAGGTAAAGGAAAAGTTACTTTTTTCTTCTGGTTTGGCATATTCATGACTACAGGTAAGGTCACATAACTTTGTCTTTCAATTTTTGGTTTACAGAGATTGAGTAAGCAGGTGATAAACAACAGAAAAAAGTGTTTGTAATTTATCTCACTGCTGAAAAACAGCACTATCAAGTGAGAGCGATGGGAGTGTCTTAAGAAGATTATAATTGCCAAAAAATTTATCTCTCAAACTACAAAATGGTAGCAAGACAAAAAATAATGTAGCTAGTATGTCAGCTAGTATGTCAACTCCAGCTGTGTTCAATGCGCTTAAACACACAAACCTAGTAAAACTCAGTTCTGAGAAGACATCTTAACTGTGAGGGGTTGGGTGTTCTTTTTGGATGAGGAACTCACCCAGACTTCAAGTCTGTAATCCGTAAACAATTAGTAGCATCTAGTCCTACTTTTCCATTTCTGACCACACTGGAAATGAAGGGCGAAAGTGCTGGAGAAATTCTGTTCAAGGCCACTTCAGGTGACATTTTAGTATGTTTCTCCTTCCTTTTGGCTTGAGCTGCAAAGGGAGAAAATACAATTTAAAAATATCCCACTTATTTGATGTAGATTCACATGTACTCTGCAAATATGAACAGAAAAAAAGCTAAGCACGCAAAAGATCAGGAGTGTAGAGTAACTGAAGTGTGTGCAGGTTTACAGAGAAAAAATAAACACAGGTAGGTTTTTTTCCTCCCGCCTCTGCAACATTCAATGAAGCCTGGTTTTCAGTATCAACATAAAGCCGGAATTATGTCCTAGGCACCTTTAATTAAGACCCTATCCCTCTGAGAAAGAGACATAAAATTGACACTTCACAGCCTAGCCCTTCTTGTGGGCATTCCCAGTCAGTCTGTTATTGACAAGTCACACTTGTTCCGCTTCCCTTGACATCGGTGGAACTTACATTAACTGCAATGGGCCCAGGGGTTTGATACCTCTCTGTATTCTCACCTGCAATTTCTAAGAGCACTAGTGTGCCTATAATCTGTATTACTTTTATGCTACTTTATTAGGTAGCAATTTATAGGACTTCATGATGCCTTTTAAAAGCTACCACTGCTTCTATTTCAGTGGTATCACCACACTCTTTGAAAGGCGTCTTAATCTTCCTTCACATAACAGATCAGGAAGCTGATGTACACACATTTTAAGCACAGCTTGTTGGGAAGTGCTTGCAATTGCATGACTTTATGCTAAATCAATAAGGCCATTAATTCAGCACACTTTAAGAAACTGTTGCTTTCTACGTGAAATGCAGAAACTAAGCATACACACATTTTAAGTCATTGTACCATGAAAAGACTAGAGTATGTGGACAACAACAGACTGGCAAAAGAAGTGGGAGAAAAGAAGGGTAACTAACCTATTAAAATGTTAATGTATTTTATCACATTCTAAGGCATAGAGCTTCATATGAAAATTAAATGAACTTGGCAGTTTTGGAAAACAAGGCTGTAAATGAAGACAACATAAACTTGCCACTGATAAGTGGCACAGAAGTGCTCATACATAAACCCTCAGCATTAAAAAATATTTTAAAAAATAACCATTTAATTGGAAAACATTAATACACACTGCATTCACTTTCTTAAAAATGCTGCATATGTACTGCTGTATTAGTATTCTATAACAAGAATGTGAACAACTCATGGCAATAATTGCAATTTTCTGTTGTTTCTCACACCCAGTTTACAAATATTAATTAGTAACTAACGGATATTCTACAGAATCTACTAAATCTCTGTAACTGGGAGCAATATTAAATTTCACATTCTGTTCTCATGAAAGCCATTCACACTGGAGTTGCAGGAAGCAACGCTCAAGACTGTTTGTCCTAGATATTCAGAATGTGTCTTAATAAAGCAAAGGCCAGTCACCTTAAGGCAAACAGAAAGATTAATAAAATAAGATTTCCTAAAAACAGTAATTATCTTTAATATACTGGCTCCTACATTTTATGGCAGTGAAGAAGCTGAAGACTAAGTATCCATGCCCTGACACATAACGTGTTCTCATATATGATTTGTTTAATTGACAACAGAACAACTTAAGTTTGTTTAGCAAACACCTACAGCAATTTAAGATACTACCTGTGGTTTGCTACTTTTCTACTAAAAGTTTCTGCCTACTCACCTTTATTCTTCCCCAGAGGGACTGAGAGAACACAAGCCCATACTTGACTTATTTCAATGCAAAGTCCAACGGCTTAGACTGAACCACTAATAAAAATTAGTTTAAGCTAAAATACTTTGCACAAGAGTGGTTACAACAGGGCACATACTTCAGTCTGCTAGCCATGCTGTAGGGAAGAGTAATTGCAAGCAGGGGGCAGCTGGACTGATGAAGTTAAGAACTCCTTAAACCACAAGAACATGCTGAAAAACAAGCTATCTAGCTTGCTTGCTTGTCTAGCAATCCTGAAGTTATATATGAAGATTGCAGAATTGTTTCTGAGTTTCACAGAGTTTGACACATTTTATGGGGACTGTGTTATGAGGGTGAAATTGTGAGACATGATACACCTGGTGATGAACACACTGGCTGAACAGATGCACCTTCCAAAGTGAACTTTAAAATGAGATTCCTTATCTTTATGTTAATAAAATTTGCATATATTGTCAATACAAAATTTAAATTACGATTAGGCATTTTTCCATACTTTATTGCATAATTTTTTAAAGTCACAATACCTTCTATTTAACAAGCCAGATACACAATACTTAAAGATTGCTATCAAGTAAACTACTGACTTACTTTGTAAACAAAGGACTTTACAAACTAGGATACAATTTGTACCAGTTTCCTAAATTTCAGCTGTCATATAAGTTTCTTCCCCTCAGTTTAAGTTTCCCACAGTACTGGAAACTGAACACAAACAAACTCAGGGAAATTAAGGAAAACAAAATTCATTGGACTGTTTCCGTCCCAAAACAAAACCTTTGAAAGAAACAAACTAATAGTTGAATCCTTTTTGATTCAGCTGGCGATCACTGTGACTTCGGGCTAATGTTACACAGGTTTCACAGTAACCGTGAAGTTCGAAGAACCCGGGCACTGCTTTGGGCACCGGAGTCAGGATGCAAGGTACTCTGTCCTTCCATCACCTTCCTCATATCATAATGAAGATTACGAGTAGATTTAAAAAGGAAAAGGTGACTGTTGTGATGGAGACCTGGAAGCGTGACAGGACCTGTCCTGTCTAACCCTCTTGGCATTGCCGTCGGCAAGCTGGCTGTGTGGTTTTCACTTTGGGGGCGGGTGGCACGAACTTGTGTCTGGGTGAGAGTGGGAAAAGGAGGGGACTCACGACCGCCGCCTCCTGCAGCCGTACCCGAACACATCAGTGGAATGCGATCAGCAATGTGGATGTGCGGAGCCTCGGGTAAACGCCAAAGTTACCTCAGCCCTGGCACGGAAGACCGCTCAGAATCCCAGAATAGGTAAGGCTGGAAAGGACCACAACGGGTCATCTGGACCAACCTCCCTGCTCAGTCAGGGTCATCCTAAAGCACATGGCACAGAATTGTGTCCAGGCAGCTCTTGAATATCTCCAGTGATGGAGACTCCACACCCTCTCTGGACAATCTGCTCTAGTGCTCGCTCACCCACAAAGTAAAGAAGCTCTTCCCCACGTTCAGGGGGAACTTTCGGTCCATCCACTCCCGTTCCGGGCTGACCCCAGCCGAGCCCCGCTCCCGCCCCAGTTGGTGCCGCCACCCGCGGCGCTGCGCCCGCCCCGCCTCAGCGGCGGTGCTAACACCGGCCTCCGCCGGCTCCGGGCCAGAGCCTCCCGGCGCCGGGTCCCCTTCCGCCCGCCGCTGTCCCGGGAAGGGCCGTGGCGTTGCTCGCTCCCTCCCGCTTTCCCTTCCCCGCTCATTCGCCCCATTCCACCCGTCCCGGCCCCGCCATTACCTACGGCGGCCGGAATTCGCCGCTTGGCAACGGCGTGCACGCCCCCGCCCCGCCGCGCGCCGTGCGCGCCTCCGCTCCCCCCGCGCCGCCGCCGCTGCTCCCACCCGGGCCGGAGGGGTCTTCACTGGCCCAACATTGGCGTCCGCCGCAAGTGCCTGTGCAGGCCGTGCCGCCGTGCGGGGCGTGGGACAGCGGTTCGATCGAGGCCGGAGCTGCGCGGGGCAGAGGGGAAGAGGGAGAGGGCGGTCGTGGCAGCAGGCGTTCGGCAAGGACAGCCCTGCCGAGTGAAGGCCCCCGCGGGCAGCCCGTCGCCAGTGGCAACCCCAGAAGCCGCGGCGGGGCCCGGGGTAGGTCAGGGTCCAAGGGCCGCTCCGGCGCCATGGCCGCGGAGGTGGTGGTGGTGGGATCCTGTATGACCGACCTGGTCAGGTTAGTACTGGATGGGGGTTTTCTGCCCGCAATAGGCGGAGCGACCCTGAGGTCACGGGAGTGCAGGGCGTCACGGTGCCTGGGGAACAGCGCAGGCACGCCGGGCCTCCCCGGGGTAGGCCGGGTCGGGATGCACCCCGGGCCGAGCCAAGCGAGTGTCACTTTTCTCCCCAGGCCGGGATGGCAGAAGCGGGGTCGGCGCCAGGAGCAGCGGGCGCAGCGCTTGGCCCCTGGCAGAGGGAACCGCGGCTGTGGCAGAGGAAAGGTCTGAGCACAGGCACAAGTTGCTCAGAGGGGTTGTGGAGTCACCATCACTGGAGGCGTTCAGGAACGGTCTAGATGCAATCCTGGGCGATGTGCCCTGGGGTGACCCTGCTTGAGCAGGGATGTTGGACCAAGTGACCCGCTGTGGTCGTTTCCAACCTTATCCATTCTGGGATTCTGAGACTCTGAAGGGGGGCGGCTGCGCCCGGGTGATGTCGACTGCAAACAGTACTTTGAAAGAAAAGTGTGGGAACGGGGAGAGGTTTGAACGTGTTGCGTGCCGGAGCTTTGATCATCTGTCTGTGACTGGAGAGAGGAGAGGAGAGGCTTGGGTTTGTGTTTTCAACTGTGCCGGATGGGTCGGTATTGGCCCTGGCCAGGGAAGCAGCGTTTCGTAGACACCTTCACGGGAAACCTGGAGCATTATCAGCAAAGGATTCTGAAAGCTGGTCAACCGTAACGCATTTTCAGTTCAAAGCACCCTTGTCTCCACTGGAAATGCGAAAAAATAAGGTTAATATTGCAAAGAAACTGAAGTTAGCTCCATGAATCAGTAGGCTGTAAGTCGATTACTTGCATAAAACATTTTGTGCAACACTTTGAAATGAGATGGAGGGAAACGGGGAGAGAGGGAGGGCCTCCCAAGGTATTCATATCCAAACATATCAAGAAGTGCATATAGGAAGCCCTCAAAAATTTAGCAGCTCTGCATCCCAAAGCTATGTTTTTCATTGTTTTAAAAGTTTTTAAAATTAATATCTTAATTTATCTTTATTCATTTTCTGAGCATTTTGTTTTTCAAATTAAATACTTGAATCTCACTGTCTTTTTTTCTTCTTTTTTCTATGTAAGTAAGGTTTGAAAATTGAATTTGAAAAATTCAGGTACAGAAGTTCATGAGAGTCCTTGGTTCCAGTAGCCCAGGCTTTGTAGTCAATACTAAATAACAGGAGAATTCAATCAAAATTGCAAGAATTCACAATACAATTTCTAACCTGAACTGGCTGGCCTTGTCAGTCCCAGTAAACTTGCAAATCAGTCTTTGATTTGCACTATTTTAAACACATCTTGATACTCTATATGCAGATTTGGTTAAAATAGATTTAAAGTGTATGTATCTGGACTCCATCAGTTTGTCCTGCTAGGAATTCTGCAATAAAAAAATGCCCTTTATCAACAGACAATTATACCAAAGCCTGTGGGTCAAGAAAGTGCAGAATACATGATTAGAGGAACATGCTGAGGAGTGAGTACTGCTTAGGTGTAGACATGTGTCGCAGAAGTGATGAAGCCCCTTAAATAATCATAGAACCTGTGTCAGAAAGATTTAATGCTCTGTGTAATTTGCAGAACACAGTGGCAGCTTTCCAAGAGGAATAGCTGTCTTGTAAGTCAGAGTAAGAACTATGGAACTGATCTTGATGTTATGTGTGAATGAGCTCTCAGATGCTAATGACGTTGCACTGAAATGTAAAACATGGTGCTTTAACCTCAAGACATTCCTTTTCCTGTCTGTCTAAAATGTGGGGGAAAAAGTAGTCAAAAAATGGTATGCCAGTTTAAGCACTGCTGACACCTGCAACTTCAGGCTTTTCTTGACACTTAAACAAAGAAACAAGAAAACTCCTTACTCCTTTTTTGTTTTGTTTGTTTGTTTGTTTGTTTTTTGTCCACAATTGTGGTATGATAGAAATGCAGTCATTTATTTGAAGTCATATTAACTGGCCATACTGTAACCAGAAATTACACCATGGACTGGAGTGACAGATCCTGTTACACTGAGATGAAGTGGCTGAAGAAAAGCCATCTCACATTTCAATCAGTCGAGAGAGTTTCCTAAGTGCACAAATGCTATCACAAGTACATATCTGACTCACAATTATTAGCCCCTGCTTTAAGTAGTGAAGGGCTTTTTATACATGATAAACTGATCAGCTGCAGTTGAAAAAGAAGGGATGGCTTAATTCTTTCTGTTACTAGCGCAGACCCTCAGGCACTTAAGAAGAACAGTGTGTTTAAATTTAGCTGGCAAGAGTTTAACCTGACCAAACTTTCCATGTAGTACCTATGCAGACATTGTTTAAATGTATCCTGGGTTAGGAAAATCTGGGTAAAATTACTGGAAATTACTAAGCAGTAGGCATGATTCTGCCTAGGTGGAACAGGAAACTATAAACCAGCTTTATGAAATACAGAAACTGTCAGGTTAGGGTTGGGATTAGATTCTAGGAGCACAACTCTTGACTGTCTTTGTATATGGGATTTAGAGGGGGCTGCATATTCTAGATTTAAAGCTAGGGTTCATTTTAGCTGGGAGGAGCATTGGGATTTTGTGAGTTTGTCATTTGTGCTGATGTTTCAGTTTATAAAAGACATGGACAAGAGTGATCATGTTAAATGCCTATCACCCATTTGGATGAGCCTGAATAAATTTTGTGAGAGTTACACAGAGGAAGTCAGACACATTTTTGTATACATTGTGTTTAATAGGCATATTCACTACTCAACACTAAAGCCTATCTTTCTTAGAAGGTAGTAATATCGCCTGAGACTCTACCAGAGCTAGACAATGCTGTGTTATAACTCAAACTGGTAAAATACGTTGTTGGCCCTTTAGGACACAACCTAAACAGTCAGCCCTCTGACTGGAGAGCTAGAGCCTCAGGGTCAGACTTGAAATGGTAGTGGCAGTCTTGAAATGTTAAACAATCCCAGGTCTGTAGAGGCGGGGTACCAAAAACCTTCAAGTCACCATTGGACATATGGTAGCCAGATTCACCATGAAAAAAAAAATTGCATATAATGCTTTTAGTCAGTACAGTAATCTAATGATTTAAAGGAGTGTAACCTCTGTGTGAAATGGAAATGTACAGTTTGAAATGTGCTGAATCTTATATAATGACCAAGACAGAAAAGGACAGGGACCTTTGGTTGAAGACAGATACTCAGATGTAGTTCTGAGAAATAATCAAATTGAGAAGAAAGGGTAGCATGTCTTAAAAACCTTCTAAAAAGAAGGGCCCCAGTGGTTTGCTTTTAAAACACTGTTCTCATTGGAAATTCTTTTCTCATTGTCCTGCAGCACTGCAGTGGCAGAATGTGGGTTTTCTAAAGTGAACTTCATATGATCAAAACAACCTCACATACATACATGCAGTAAACCACACTCTTTTGGCTTAATAGGACCAGGAGCAAAACATATTTGTGGTCACAATCACAATCAACACTTCATTGGCAATAGCAGACAATAGTAGTAAAAAACAAAACCAGCATTATTCTATATGATCTAGATATCAAACCAGATTGGTACCATCCATGGTATTATTTAAATAGATTGATTCTCTTCTGACTCATATTTGCAGACTGGTCATGGCATTGGCATTTTAATTCATATTAAATCAGGGCAAGACTAAACATATAAACCAATGAGAGTCATACACACTAAAACAATTAGAATAAGCAGGAGAAGCTTTGGCATGGCAATTTAAAACAGCAGAAGCATAGAACAAAATGTAAGATGGAAAAATAGTCTTTGGATAGTCACAACAACAGTCTTTCAGTTTAACTCAAGAGAATGACACCACAGTCCAAATAGTGGAAAACGGCATTTTTTAGAATGTTCAGAATTTCAGATCTTAGTTTTCTGTGGACTTCTTTCCTCTGATCACATTTCTTCACTCCCTTTAGGGAGCAGAACTAAAAGTTCTGCTTCCAGCCCCCCATTTTAGCAACCACCGTTAATAATTACTGCAAGTACTAAACTGACTGTAAGCATTCAGCAAGACAGAAGGGCAAGGCAGAGAAAGCACAGAGAGCTCCATACAGAGTAGTGTGTTGCTGATCTGCAATTGACAGTGGTGACAAATGCACATTAGTATGAACATCCCAAACACATCAAATCCTCTTTGCTAACAGAGCACAACCTCTGCTTGGGCCAAATGGCAAAAGTATCTCATTAGTGACATTCTGTGTCTTCCTTTTAAGTGTCTAGTGATGATTATTGTCTGCTGAAGTGCTAAAGTAAATGGCTCATTGGCTCATTGGCACACTGGAAATGTCCATGATCCAAAACTTTGTCTGTACTTTCTTTTTCAGAAGTGCAGTATTTGGAACAATAATCACAGACTTCTTTTGGTGGGAACGTGAAAAAGGAATTTTCTTACGTTTCTTTTGAGTGGACAGAGGAAGTCTTGCATATGAATTCATTTTCTTTTTTGCTTTTTTCCCAGATCTCACACATGTTCTCATTTCCACCATTTCTCATGCATGTTACCAACTTTTGATGTTTTTGCCTTGTTTTGGTATTTTTTTTCCTCTTTAGCTTCTAGCAGCAAAGTGTTCTAGAACCCTTTAAGTCCATTTCATTTGTGTTTTTG